CTCACATTAATTTATTCATGAGGGATCTGCCCCGCATGACCCAAACACTTCCTGCTAAACCCCACTTCCCAACACCAGCACACTTGGGATCAAATCTTTTATTTATTTTTATTTTGGGGGGGATCAAATCTTAATGTGAGTTTTGGTGGGGGCAAACCATATTAAAACCATAGCAATAGCTAAAGAATCTTTGTATTTAGGAAAAAATATTCAACTGACAGCCATCTACTTTAGTTTCAATGGTTGAGACATGGCCAGTGTTATAAATAATATCAAAGAATATTTCAGCCTCCAGGAATTTTTCAAAACCACTTTTTTTTTTTTTTTTTTGGCCAACGCATCCTGTTTTTTTTTTTTTTCCCCAAAAGCTGAAGAAGAAGAATAATCTGTTACCCATTTTAAAGTTTTGTCAAAACTCATGCTTGAAACAGTCTGATATTTTTCAGCTTTTGTCCATCTTCCAAATCTAAAATATAATTCTATAATAATATTTCTGGCCACGTGTTTCTATTTAAAAAAAATAGGAGACTAGGGAAGTTGTCTTTTAGAATTCCTTTTCTAATTTTGGCTCTATTCATTTCCTTTAAAAAAAAAAAAAAGTTCTCATCCATGATGAGATTAAAAGTCTCACCTTGGCCCAGATTTCAATTCTTCTAATCTGCCTGGACTAGAGTAACTAAAGCAATTTAAACGATAAAAAGGTAGCAATAATATGCATTCTTAATTCACATGGCAGCCTTGTTTTAGAGACTCTAACTTAGACTATGGAGTGAGAACACTGCCTTCTAAATATCTGTGGGCGGATCTAGCTTCCTTGGTCAAAAACATCTAATATGGTTGGAAATACTTGGCATAACTATCAAGGTTGTAGTTTTCTAAGGGCTGCTTGTTGTTTTCCCTTGTTACATAACCCTATCTCATTTCTGCCCCTCTCAATCGGCCTTCCAGACTAGTGAGCACCAGAGATTAGAAAGCACAGCCTCTCAACTGGACACATTGTTTTGAGCACTGCAGATAGCTCTGAGCTTCTTAAATCTCCAACCTGAACAGAGAGAAAGCAGTCCTTTTATTGCAGCAAAAGTTAGCTTAATAACATACCTTTAATCTGGGAATATTGTTGGTAGAAACTGAATTAGGAAACCCCAAGCTCCTCTATCTCTTGGTCCTATTTGGGAATTCCAGGGGACACTAGCCATGTTGGGCAGCAAACCTCTTTTCTGTATCAGTGATGCCATTTCTCCGTACTCCCCAGGGGACTCCTGTCAAGGGGACTTTCCCCCTATCCATCTTGCACCAGGTTCACCATCTCCAGTGCATTCAACTCTTTATGTGGCTCCTACTGTTTATAGAAGGACCACTGTGTTTAACTCTGTCAATTCCTCGATGGAAAGGTCTGGCTCAGAGTCTCTCTCTTCAGAAGAGGTTATTTGCTTAACTGCACTCCTCTCCAGCATCTCTGCAGGTTTGTGTTCTCTGATGAGCACACCGCCAGCCTTTTAACTAGACACACTGGAAGGAATACGTTTGAGGACACGAATACCTGTACACGTACCCACACCTCACCCACTCACAAAGATCATGAACAGAGTTTTACTCTGTAGCATGCATGCCCTTATATTTCTGTTTCATCAAAAACCAAAAAGCTTGTTTTTACCCACACAATTGATTTCAGGATCAGCAGTGTGAAAAACTCATTTAGGGCTAGGCGCCTGTGACTCAGTGAGTAAGGCGCCAGCCACATACCCCGAGGCTGGCAGGTTCGAGCCCCAGCCTGGGCCTGCTAAACAACAATGACAACTGCAACCAAAAAATAGCCAGGTGTTGTGGCAGGTGCCCGTAGTCTCAGCTTCTTGGGAGGCTGAGGCAAGAGAATTGCTTAAGCCCAAGAGTTGAAGGTTGCTATGAGCTGTGATGCCACAGCACTCTACTGAGGGTGACATAGTGAAAGTCTGTCTCAAAAAAAAAAAAAAGAAAGAAAGAAAGAAAAGAAAAGAGAAACTCATTTAGGAGGCATAGAAGCTAATTAGAGATTCTAAAGGATGAATCTACCTATAGTATAACCAGGAGGTGACTTCAGGGAGAATATTCACAAATTATTATCCAAAAAGTGAAATTGGGAAAATAATTTAACAAATGCTAAATTTGACCAAATCTTCTGAATTTCCTAAAAATTCATTTATGCCTTAAAGCAAACACATATGCACATACAAGCACTTATATACATATGTATATATTTACATAAATTTGCTGACACATTAAATTCAATCTTTAAACTTACAAAAACCGAGAAGGTCCTTGTTCTCCAAGTAACCCAGTTATTATAGTCCAATGTTTGAAGGGCTACGACCGAGATCTATACGGGATGTTGTGGGAGAAGGGAGGGGATCCCAAATTCAGGAAAAAGTGGGTGAGCTTCCTGGAGCTGGTGACTGCTGGAGGACACTGGAAGGAGGGTGACACCTTCTTTATAGACTGGCGTTTTTCAGCCTTTTTTATCTCACAGCACTCTTGAACCTACAGGCAAAGTTCTGTGGCACACTTAAATTATATTGATTTTTTAAAAGTTTTAAAAAAGAATATACTTATTGTGCTTTGAACTTCTTTGGGAAAATAGTTTAATAATCTTTAAAAATTTTCCCTGCACACCTACGATCATCTCACAACGCACACAGCTGGAAAATCACTGCTCTAGACAAAGAAAGTTAAAAGTGTTCGTTGTTCAGAGAGCATGAAACCCCTTTGAACGTACAGAGAGCATCAGACATGAGGGCTCTCTGCCTACGGCATCAAGGCCACAGATAGGGTTGTAGCTGGAGATGAGTCTGGGAAGCTGCACAGCTTTCCTGGGGTGTCCAGGGCATCCACTGAGAGATGTTAAGAAGGGCAGTAGGTCACCAGGTTTCTGCGTGGGAAAGATCATGGAAGATGTGGTGTGGGGGACACTGGCTGAGATGCCAGGCTGGAGCAGGGATGAGTTGGGAGCCATGGAGACACAGCACAAAGGCCTGCCCTGAGGCAGCGGTGGTGGGAATGAGGAAAAGTGAGGCGTCTGAGAGGTCTTGGGGTCACCCTCGCAGGTGGCTTGAAGCTGCAAGGCAGGGGGGGCACATCTCTGCTGGTGTCCAGAGAGGCATTGGTGCCATCTACTCGGGGAGTGCAGGGAGGACAAAATCAGGAGATGCATTCAATTACAGACAGACGTTTTGAGTTCAAGGCGCCTATGGTGATCCAATAGCTGCTTGGAAATGGAGCTCCGGGAGAGGCCTAGTTTGGGGTCAGAAGAAGTCAAGGGCTGGATGAAGCCACAAAGGAAAGCTATAGGGTAGGACCAGCAGAGCACAGGGGAGGGCGTGAGACCCTGGGAAAGCTGTACGTTAAAGATGACTGATGTGCTGAAGACAAGCCTTTCCGATTCCTATGGCTAGTACTGAGTCAGCACAGCAGCCCTCATCCCGGCTTCCTTCCTAACTACCCCGGCTATAAAAACTGTCTGCGCTCCCACACCCGGCAAGAGGGATGAAGAGTCCCGGATGTATTCATTCACCACTGTCCCTCCGTGGGACTGCGGGCAGAGGGCATAGCTGCGCTGAGGGCAGGGCAATGGTGAGGGTGGCCCTGGACTTAGTCACTAGCAAAGGGCTGGATGCCAGTTCTGAAATGTTTGTTGGGTAGGGGCCCCAAATCCCTGAGAGTCTCCCCAGATTCTTTCACACGCTGGAGTGTTGGCCGTGTGTCTTCCACAGGGCGGGCAGTGAGCTGAGTTTAGAGAGCTGTTTCTTTACCAGGTTTTCTGCCCTCCCAGCTTCCAATCACAGCGCTTGCCCCTGTGTAAATCCACAGGTCAGGGGCCGGCTGGAGCAGAGACTTCCAAAAAGAAACTCAAATTTCTGTTCTAGCATCTTTGGAGCAGAGAGGCTCACAGCTATGGGCTGAATTGTGCCCCACTCCCCATTCCTATGTTGAAGTCCTAAGTCCCAGGAACTCAGAAGGTGACTGTATTGGGAAACGGGGTCTTTAAAAAGATGTTTAAGTTAAAAGGTGGGGGTGGGCCCTAATCCAAGAGGCTTAGTGTCCTGAGAAGAAGATATTTAGGACGCTGGCCCCCCCACAAGAAAGACCACGTGAAGACACCGGGAAAGGACATCCTCTTCTCTTTTCTTATCTTATCTTTTCTTTCTTTCCTTTTTCTTTTCTTTCCTTTCCTTTCTTTTTCTTCTCTTTTCTTTTCTTCCCTCCCTTCCTCCCTTTCTTTTTTTTTTTTTTTTCTTTTCTGATGGGAACTGGTCTGCATAAAGCTTGGTACCTGTTCGGAAGGAAACAGAGCAGTCTGACACTCAGAGGAAAAGAAGTTGGAGGGAAATTGAACGTGAACGCAACCTACCGAAACAGACAAGTCACATACTTCACGTGTTTAAATTTATCTCCTGCTCTGCCCTATACCAAGTACTTTCACAAACCTCGACTCACTTCATCTTCTCCACTGCCTCAGCATGACCTGGGCATCTGTTAGAAAAACAGATTCTGGGGCCTCAAGGAAGACGTACAGAATCAGACGCTGGTGGGAAAGGGGGCAATAACTGTGTTTCCACAAATTCGAGGGATGCTGATGTGCCTTTTTCACATTTGCCGGTCTCCTTGGCAACTGGCCCAGAAGGCTGCCGGCTACAGCGTTCGCACAGCTCGTCAGGTTTTATTCCTGGAACGGGCTGGACAATCAGAGCGGCCGCTCAGGTGCTCGGAGGTAAACAGAGCCCTCCTGGCCTCGGGACAGCGGCGGGCGGTGGCGCAGCTGGAGCCGGGTGTCAGCCCCGGAGCCGCCCGGCGCGTGCGCGTGGGCGCGTCCCTGGGCCTGGCCCGGCCGGGAGCGCGCCGAGGGGGTGGGTCGCGCTGGCCCCGCCGGCCTGGCGCGCCGTCCGAGCCACTCAGAGCGCCCGGCTGCCGACACCCGGGGGCCCTACAATTAATACCCGGCGCCCGCCCGCCGCTCCTGGACTCGAGCACCGGCTCTCGGGGAAGGAGGCGCCCAGCCTCACGGACGAGCTCGCTTTGCAACTCGCTCTGCTCCGGCAGCTGCGGCGACAGGACGCTGGGCTGACGACTCTCCCGAGTCCTCTTCGCCACCCCTCGGCCCGCGAGAGAGCCAGCTTGAGCAAGGGACTGTGCCGCCCCGTAGACACAGTGTGTCCTCCTGTCCCGTCAGGTGGGCTTGGCCGGAGCGCGCCGGGAAGGTGAGTGGGGCCGGGCAGTAGGGGCGCGCGTAGGGACGCGCTCGGTCGCCCTAGCGCGGGGAATTCCTCTCCCCCTCCTCCTGGTCTCCCCCCAGAGTTTCCCTCCGGACTAGGGGAGGCTAAGAGGCTGCCCTGCTGCAAGTGTGTTTATTCCGGTGACAGAGCGAGTCAGTCGGACAGCCACTGCCCCCGGCCGGGTGAGCGACACCCCGGCCGGGACCTCCAGCCCTAACCTGGACCGAGAGCCTCCACAGCCCCCGAGCTGCGACTGCTCCAGGAGCTCGCCCCAAGCCTCTTCCTGGCCCTGGGACCCGGGAGGTGTAACAGGTCATCTCCCTCCCTTCTGTCCCTTTAATTCGGGCTGAGGAGAGCTACTGAGACACAGGACATATACTTTGTTTGCAAACACACTAAAAAACTGACTTTCCAGTGTTTTAAAACAGAACGCGCTTATGCCACCTCATTGCGGTTTCCTCAGAACACTTCGGGGGACAGGGAGGGGCCAGCTGGCCCTCAAGGGGGGCGGTTCCGGGGCGCGCGTTAGCGTCCCAGGGCGCGAGGACAGCTCTGGTCTTGATCTTCCGGGAGTCTGTCCAGGAAGGTCTCCGCGCGCTGGCCCCTGCTTGGGAAGGGTGACTAGCAGCGGGAGGCGCAGGGGTCTCTGCGCTGGGCTCCTCTCCACGTTCCCTGCGCTCTTGGCCCAGCTGCTCGTGCGGTCCCGAGTGTGCTCCCCCCCTGGTGGCCCGGCAGAGGGCGCCAGCTCCCGGTCGCCGCGCGGGCCGGCGGAGGGGAGGGGACTTGTGCGAACCTCCAGGTAAGAAGCGAAGTGAATCACCCGGAGAGGGGGGACCCGATCCTCGCGCTGTGGGAAAGAGGCGGGGCGTGGCCGTGGCGCTGCCGAGAAGTCCGGGCTGCGGAGCCGCTGTTGGACGGGAAGAGGCGATTCTGCCACGCGGAGGCGTGGGGCAAGCCCGGGAAGGTGAGGAATGCCCCTGCGCGCGGTGGCCGAGGGTGGGGACCGGCCGCGTGGGGCTAAGGCCAGCGGAGGACACCAGGACTCGCCGCCGCGCGCCCTCTGTAGTGGCCAGAGGTGGCCGCAGCTTTACTCTGCTCCAGGCGGTCCTGTCGCGGGCAGAGGGGGAACCTAGGAACAGCCTGCAGGGGGAGGCGGCAGATCCCCGTGCAGCTGCGGGCGGCCCGCGGGGTCCCGGAGCGTTAACAAAGGCGCGGCGCGGCCGCCGCCTTCCACCCACTTCCGTCCCCGGCGCGCCCTGGCGCGCGCAGCCGGGAGGAGCCGGCCGGCTGAGGGTTTCTGTCCGCGGAGTTTTCGGGAAGTTAACACCGCGGCCCGTTAAGCAGCAGGAGGGGCGGGGAGGCGGGCGGCCCGGGGAGGGGCGCGCGAGTATTCAGAACTGCGATGTGGCCTGTTTTCTCTCCCGATCTTGGCTGCAAGTGGCGAGGGCTGCAGTGGCTTCCGCGCCCCTCTTTCGGGACCCCGGCCCGCGCCCCCGCAGGGCCCCCGCGGGTTGGAACCCCGCGCGTGGCGAGTCCCGCCAGCCCGGCCCGCCCACGCCCCTCCCGCGGTGTCTGCGCGTGCGAGCTCCCGGGAGGGCGTGGCTTAGTCCCGGGTGACAGCCGGCAGCCCCGGCACCTTGAGCGGAGCTCCAGGAGGCGGTAATTGCATTACTGGGAGTGAGAGGCAGGGAGGCTCCGGTCCAGGCCGCAATCTGGGTCAGGTGCGGGGTTAAGCGCTCCAGGCAGAGGCACTACCAATCCTACGAAGTCTGACAGTTTATTGCAATTGGAAGTTTCGCAACAGTGTAGAGGCCCTCTGGGGAAATTAAAGGAGTGAAAGTCCCTACCGCGATCCCCGAGGCTGTGGTAACTTTCTGCAAATCTTAATGTCCGGGGCAGCATCAGGGTCTGGACAGGAGAGGAGGACGTGCTGCTGCTGAAGAGACACCTGGGGTAATCTGCTCAGTGTGAGCCCCTGGGGTATTCTGCTCGGTGTGAGTCCCTAGGCCCCCAGTAATCAATGGATGGAATCCACACTTTCCTATCTTGTCCTGTATGACTCCACTTCCTTCTGTTTTAAGGAAACGTGAGAACTGGGTTTTTGAATTGCTAATGATGAGAGACTTACTTTCTTTCTTTCTTTCTTTCTTTCTTTTTTTTTGAAACAGAGTCTATGTCGCCCTCCATAGAGTACGTGGAGTCACAGCTCACAGCAACCTCCAACTCTTGAGCTTTAGCGATTCTCTTGTCTCAGCCTCCCAAGTAGCTAGGACTAAAGGCGCCCGCCACAACACCCAGCTATATTTGTTGTTGTTATTGCGTGCGGAACCCACCAGCCCTGTGGGTGCATGTGGCTGGCGCCCTAACCACTGAGCTAGGGCGCCAAGCCTAGAGACTCTTTCTTAACATACCATGGAGGAACCTTCACATTTCTCTTATAAACCTTAGAGCCTCTTCCCAGAAGTTTGTGTGTATTGTACAGATGAGGAAACTGAAGCTTGAAATTAACAGGTCAAACTAGGGCTGTTGATTCCTCCCAGTTTCTTTGGCAATAGGCTGTTACTGGTTACTGAGTCCTGTTACTGTTTATGGATTGACTGTAACCCCTAGCTCAAGTTCAATGATGTTAGGCATTTGGGTTTGGTTGACTTGTCACATATTGCTGGCTTCCAGTTGGTGTCAGTGCCTCATCTAAGTTAATTCTTATCTAAAGCTTAAGATACTAGGTATATGAAGAGAACTAAGGCTTCTTCTGAAAGCCTTCAGAAGTATATGACAATTGGAAAAAAGAGTCAGAAATAGCTGTCTTTTGCTTTGCATGGTGTTTTGTTGGGCAGGTGGGCCTGGAATCAGAAACTCTGCTACACAGGATGGACGCTGTTGTGTAGTCTTCAGTGTTGCAAGGAGCTCAAGTTCCCACTCTGTTTAAGCTGTGTGTGATTTCGCCACTGTACTTAATGTGTGTTTAAAATTAAGTGAAGTCTGCCTTGGAAATAAAGGCCAAGCTTACTGACTGACTAGTTAAAACCCCCAGATTTCTTTCAGGGATCTAAGAATATGGTTTTATGCACATACTTTTATGCAAAATGGACCTCAAGTTCACAGTATAGGACTTTGGTTTGGTATTGTCCTGAACGTACTTAAAATGTATTGCCTTAAAGAAAGATGCCTGAAACTCTGAAATGATGGTCTAGGACTCAGAATATCCCAGGCAGAGACAGCCAGGTATAAGCGTTCAGGGCAAGCTTCTGAAGTCAGAATGAATGGATTGGGTTCAAATACTGCCCTCACTATTTATTACCTTGAATAATTTGTTCAACCTCTCTGAGCTTCACACAGCTTTTAAAAAAACAAGAACAATAACCAGGCGCAGTGGCTCACGCCTGTAATCCTAGCACTCTGGGAGGCTGAGGCAGGTGGATGGTTTGAGTTCACGAGTTCAAGACCAGCCTGAGCAAGAGCGAGATCCTGTCTTTGAAAAAAAAACATAGCTGGGCATTGTGGTGGGTGCCTGGAGTTTGAGATTGAGGCAAGAAGATTGCTTGAGCCTGGGAGTTTGAGGTTGCTGTGAGCCACGATGCTACAGCACTCTACTGAGGGTGACAAAGTGAGACTCTGTCTCAAAAAAAAAAAAAAAAAAAGAACAGTAATATCGCCTTCTTGTTTCAAGCTATGAAGATTAGATAGTCCATAGACGATATTTAGCCTTAGCACATAGCTGTTATTCAACAAATGCTAACTGATAAGGCTGTTGTTTCAGGACAGGCTCCTTATTTCTTCTCTTCCACAGAGGCAAAGGACTGGATAAATTTCTTGCACTCACTATTCTTAATATTGCAGTGAGTGATTCTTCTTTCTTGTCTGCAAGCCGGGGGTAGGGGAAGGACAGCAGCGATGGAAAGCTTTGTCCAGTTGCCCAAGGAATTTACAAGGGGTTCCAGGACTATAGAGCTTTTCTCCTGATTTTATTGCTGTGTAATTTTGTGGCTTTCCCCCCAGTCATTTCCCTTTCCTTTAAATTTAAGGACAGTCGTCCAATGGCCCAGACGATAGGACTTTTCTTGAGAAAACTGGAGAAAATTCTTTCCTTCCATAGCTTTGTATAGCACTAAAGAAATATGTCTGCTTCTGTGAAAATTGGGCTGGCCCAATCTTACAAAGACAGACCATTTCCTTGGAAAATATTTTCTGAGCGTCTTTGAGAGGTGAGGTGCCAAGGCAATAGAAGAGGAAGCACAGTTTGAGACATAACATTGCAAAAATATTTGCTCAAATACGGTAAACCACACACGATCAGAACACTGCTAACCTAGCTTTCAGAAAAGGTGTCAGGATAAAGTATAAATCAATTCAGCTGAACAATTCATGAGCAACCAGTATAACGATTTCATATGTTTAAAAAAAAAACAAAACTCGAATGTTTCTCAACTAAAGAGACAGAAATAGAGAAATAGTTTTCTTATAGCACATCGGGTCTTTTTTTCTTTTTTCTTTTTCTCTGTTCTCCTTCTTGATTCTGTTTTTGCTTTTATCTTTGAAACAAGCCATTATGGACTGAAGCTCTATCAAGAAACCTCATAATGGCACTGAACGCCACTCGATGGTGATGGTCTAGTGACCATGAACACTATCTCCAAGAAGCACGTGGACAGGGGGTACAGGGAGGGAGTGTCCTAGAGGTTTTGCATTGGCATGCAAAACGTGGCTTTCTCCCTTCCTGGAAAATGAGCTGTGCGTCTAACCGATGGACAGCATGTAAAGGGTCAGGAGAAAGCTCCCCGCTTTTGTGCATCTGGTTCCCTGTGTAGCAACTTGTTGCGCTCCAGCTGGGAAGAAAGGGACGGCTGCGGGGCATGCGCCAGACCTGCGCTGGGCTGTCGCTCCCATTGTGCGGAAGATGAACAGGCGGCGTTATTTTGGATCGCATAGCAGCTTGTTCAAAAGCATCTTGCATTCCCCAGCTGTTCCACAACTTCTTGGAATAT